GCAAGTTTCGATGAGCCATAAACCAACGAACACTAGAGGAAAACGTGACACCCAAGTCAGTAAAGGAAGACACAAATTTAAGTGCAGACTACGATTGTGGTTTTATTTGCATTTACTTCAAGTTCCGATTAAGGATTGGGGCAAAACAAAATCAAATCATCCGCATATAGTAGGTAAAATATTTTCAGCATACCAACATATAGAATCGTTGCTGAAAATACCCGCTAAGCTCATTAATAAATAGGGCAGATAATAAAGGTGACAAATGAAACTTTATGAACCTCACATAAGCATTTAAACACACCCGAAATTCCATTTGACTGCTGTATATGCATTGTAAAGTTTAAAAAAATACAATGGAGACCACAATACAACAGCAAGTATATTACGAAATAATGGTTAAAGCGATCGGACACCTTTTCAAAATCTACAAAAACGCAATATAATTTCGCTCGAACTAAAAAATATATATTGACAATTGTATCTATTATAAAATATTGTACTATACGATTTGCGAAACCCAGCTTGATTTTCATTTAAAAGAATTTTTTTCTAGACCTAAGTGTTTAATCTATTGTGGACATCGCATGAGAATATTTGACCCAGAAGCAACGTAATTTCTCTATAACTATTAACATCATTTCGATTCCCTTTCTCGTGGAAGGATATGGCTAAACTCGCCACCCAGTCATTTTGGAAAAAGTCAGCAACAAGTAATTTGGTAGATAATTGCACTAATATTTTATAGAAATCACATGGCAAATTTTCAACAACAATACATAATTTGAGTTTTTAGATGGTCGATATATCACAGACGTGTTCTATATACAGACATACAAAGGTGGTATACTATAGTAAGATATTCATCGGTTTAGCTAACTGGGCTGCTCATACTGTAAACATACTTTGATATATTGGATGTTCTTTATTATAATTATACACACGAGTCTCAGATTTGATTTGTTATTTTGCAGGTATAATCTAAATATGCTGCCAATATATTGACGATAGCCTCATCACTTTTAATTGAGTTGCAGATTTGCAGAGAAGTGAAACTTCTTACTCGACTGTTTATATATATAAACAAATAAGTAAATACAATGTATCAACATCCAACTAAAAGTAGAGGTGATGTAGAAGTCAACTCAGACCCTGAAGATGTGCAACTCAAGAAGAAAGAGTTCCAGTGCAAGCAATATGAACAGTGTTGTACGCGGTCCGTTGATCTAAAAAAACACATGCTGACACATACAGGGTTGAAACCATTTCAGTGCGAGCAGAGCAAGAAGTGTTTTACTCAGTCTAGCCATCTTAAACAGCGTATGGTTAAACAATCAGGGCTGAAGCAATTTCAGTGCAAGCAATGCGCGAAATGTTTTACTGGGGCTGGTAATCTGAAAACACATATGCTTACTCATGCAGGGCTGAAGCCATTTCAGTGCAAGCAATGCGCGAAATGTTATACTCGGTCTGGTAGTCTAAAAACACACATGCTTACACATGCAGGATTGAAGCCATTTCAGTGCAAGCAATGCAAAAAGTGTTTTACTCAATCTGGTAATCTAAAACAGCACATGCTTACACATACAAGTTTGAAGCCATTTCAGTGCAAGCAGTGCGATAAGTGTTTTACTCAGTCCAGTAATCTAAAACAGCACATGCGTATACATGCAGGATTGAAACCATTTCAGTGCAAGCAATGTGCTAAATGTTTTACTCAGTCTGGTGGTCTAAAAACGCACATGCTCACACATACAGGACTGAAGACATTTCAGTGCAAGCAATGCAAGAAGTATTTTACTCATTCTTGTAATCTAAAACAACACATGCTTATACATACAGGGTTGAAGCCATTTCAGTGCAAGCATTGCGCCAAATGTTTTACTCATTCTGGTAGTCTAAAACGGCACATGCTTATACATACAGGGTTGAAGACATTTCAGTGCAAGCAATGCGCGAAATGTTTTACTGATCCTAGTAATCTAAAACAACACATGCGTACACATACAAGGTTGAAGTTATTTCAGTACACGCGACTTGGTAATTTAAAACAGCGTATGTGTGCACGTACAGGGATGAAGCCATTTCAATGCAAACAATGCGATAAGTGTTTTACCCATTCACGCGATCTTGAAGAACACTTGCAGACGCCATTTGGTCAATGCATGAAGAATGCAGACCAGATGAAAATTGGAGTATTTATTGTGTTAAAATATCTGAAAACTAGACTGGAGGGTAATACAAGTGAGATTGGTAAAGTGAGGCAAGGAACAGAGACATTCAGAATGTGCTTTCTTTCTGGAAATAAGAAGACATTAAAAAGACACGAGATTAAGTTGAGATATGAAATAGTTAAGCTCGATCAAAAAAATGCAGAATTTGAGGGCACAGAAACCTTCAGACATGTGTTACTTTTTTAACTCACTGTTTTGTATGCAAAAGTGTGGTGACGTTGAGGTCAAGATATTTTGGTATGGAATGGGTAAAACAGACAATGTTTATAATTGACTGAAGATGTTATTCTATTACTAGTGCATTTATTCCCTTGTATTTGTCTATGTTAAGATTTGCATGATAGTGCTATATTGCTATGATATTATTATTATCAGCCGAGTATCACTGGAAAAAAGTTGTATTGCATTGCCTGTAGTGTAGTGTAAAGGAAGGGTAAGGTATAGTAAGGGGCGGATTTTGGCGTCGTTGTTGTTGTTGACTGACTTGTGGGTGAGATAACTGTTTCATTTTGCA